ATTAATCTCTCCTCATACGGCAGCCGTTCCATACCCCAATCATTTTTGTTGCCCTTTTCTGAACCTTTTCCAATTCCAATATATATATTTTTGAGATGAGGCAACCATATCTGCACGCAGTATTCAAGTTATTGGCATACCATGGATTTATATAGAGGCAACATGATATTTTCTGTCTTATCTATCCCTTTCCTAATGATTCCCAACATTCTGTTTGCTTTTTTGATTGCCACTGCACATTGAGTGGATGTTTTCAGAGAACTATCCACAGTGACTCCAAGATCTCTTTCTTGAGTGGTAACAGCTAATTTAGACCCCATTTCATATGTATAGTTTGGATTTTGTTTTCCAATGTGCATTACTTTGCATTTATCAACATTTAATTTCATCTGCCATTTTGTTGCCCAGTCACTTAGCTTTGAGAGATCCTTTTGTAGCTCTAAGCAGTCTGCCTGGGACTTAACTATCTTAAGTAGTTTTGTATCATCTGCAAATTTTGCCACCTCACTGTTTACCCCTTTTTCCAGATCATTTATGAATATGTTAAATAAGACTGGTCCCAGTACAGAGCCCAAGGGGACACCACTATTTACCTCTCTCCATTCTGAAAACTGACCATTTATTCCTACCCTTTGTTTCCTATCTTTTAACCAGTTACCAATCCATGTGAGGACCTTCCCTCTTAACCCATGACAGCTTACTTTGCTTAAGAGCCTTTGGTGAGGGACCTTGTCAAAGGCTTTCTGAAAATCTAAGTACACTGTAGCCACTGGATGACCCTTGTCCACATGCTTGTTGACCGACCTCCTCAAAGAACTGTAGTAGATTGGTGAGGCATGATTTCCCTTTACAAAAACCATGTTGACTCTTCCCCAACAAATTATTTTCATCTATGTGTCTGCCAATTTTGTTCTTTACTATAGTTTCAACCAGTTTGCCCAATCCCGAAGTCAGGCTTACCGGCCTGCAATTGCCGGGATCACCTCTGGAGCCCTTTTAAAAAATTGGCGTCACATTAGCTATCCTCCACTCATTTTGGTGCAGAAGCTGATTTAAATGATGGGTTACAGACTACAGTTAGTAGTTCTTCAGCTTCACTTTTGAGTTCCTTCAGAACTCTTGGGTGAATACCATCTGGTCATGGTGACTTATTACTGTTTAGTTTATCAATTTGTTCCAAAACCTCCTCTAATGACACTTCAATTTGGGACAGTTCCTCAGATTTGTCAGCTAAAAAGAATGGGTCAGGTTTGGGAATCTCCCTCATATCCTCGTTCATGAAGATCAATGCAGTTTCATTTCATTTGAGTCTCTAAAGTATTTTTAAATCGTCTCCATACTGTTTGCAGGCATTTCATCCTTGTGACTGTTCCTTTTCATTTCCATTTAACTAGCTTCCTCATATTTGTGTAGCTTCCCTTTTTGAAGTTAAATGCTACTGTGCTGGGCTTCTTTGGCATTTTTTGCCCCTACAAATATGTTAAATTAAATTACATTACAGGTGAACTGCTCGGTAGTAGCGATCATAGTCACCTCTTGTACCAGATCCTGTGCTACACTTAGGACTAGATCAAGAATGGCCTCTCTCCTTGTGGGTTGCAGGCAAAGCTGCTCCAAGGAGCTGTCACTTATGGTGTCTAGAAACTTTATTTCTGCATTCCATCCTTAGATGACACATACTCAGTCAATATGGGGTTATTTTGAAATCCTCCATTAGAGTGGCTACAAAGGCAGAAAATTCAATAATAATCTTGAGCATTTCACAGTCTCTGTCACCATACTGGTCAGGTCTTCAGTAGTATATTCCTACTGCTATACTCTTATTGTTCAAGCATGGAATTTCTATCTATAGAAATTCTATGGTACTGTTGGATTCACTGAAGATGTTTTACTTATTTGACTCTGCTTTCTTTCACATATGGTGCCACTCTGTCATTCCTGTGTATTTTGTATCCTGGTATTACCATGCACCATTAATTATCCTCATTCCACCAAGTTTCCTTAATGCCTATTATATCAATATTCTCATTTAATGCCAGGCATTCTAGTTTGCCCATCTTAGTATTTAGACTTTGTATATAAGTACTTCTACATTTTGTCAGTATTCAGTTGCTTGCCTTCATGTGTTATGTTTAACTAGGACTCTCTTACATTTGAAGCCTGTTGCTCAGCCATAAAGCAGAGAGTTCAGAACCTGTCGGTTCCTTCATTTCTGTTTGGCAAAGCACAGCACTGGTCTTTCTATAAGAATTTATCTGAAGCAGTGAGATTTCAGGGCAGGAGCTCTGGAATCAATAGATATTGCCACAGAGCATAATCATTACAGCCTCAGTTATAGCAGGTTTTGAATCTCTACAGAAATGTAACAAGATGCACAATAAGATGAGTCTTTAGCTGAAAAGCAAATTGCCCTCCTGCACAATTTTTAACAGAAACAGCGTATTTAAGAGTCTGGTTTTTAAAAAAAACAAAACCAAAAAACCTTGCTGGATCCTCTAATGATGCATTCAGTCTTCTCAATATTGGATAGCCTGATTTGTTCTTTGCATGCATATTGTAGATATGTTCCTAATTATAATAGGAACTAGAGCACATTGAAAGAACCAGGCTGGTTGCAGTGAATCAAATAAGCTGTTGACTGTAGTATATCATGAACAAGATGTTCAATTTTATATAAGAGGATGAATGTGACTGGATTGTGATCTTCAAAAATTTCCTTTTTTGTAAACCGAGGAACAAAGGACTTATAAATTTCTCACAATATTTGGGGCAAAGTACCAGCAGGCATTCTTGATTATTTACCAGTATTGAGGCCTGAACTACGGTGATCAGTGCACTGGTCTTATTGGTGTTTCTTACTTTTTCTGTGTCTTTAGAAGCGGGTTTATTTAGCATACGTCCTAGATCAGAAGTTTTTTTGCAACAAAATGTTGCAGTCACAAAGCATGTCTCCTCCCCATCTGCATAGTGTGTCATCAAACACACTAACTGGGTTGTTTGATACCTTATACAACATTGCCTGTTCAAAGCTGCAATTGCCGTGTCTTTGTCTTGTCAGCCCCACTTTAGAAAAGTAACAATAGAATGCCAACAGAGAACTAGTTCAGCAGGACCCAAGACCAATGGGGCATTTGGGAACCTAGTGCATGCATGCCTGTTAGGGTTCCTAGACATGTTACCATACATAGTCTTGCCCGACTTGGCATTTTTTTTTCTTCAAAGTTGACCTCTCCTGGATTCATAGGCCCCCCACTTCTCCCACCAGAGATGGGTCTCTTTGAAAGATCAGACTACACAGACAGACATGTTAAACTTTTTTTACTGGAGCATTGAAGATATCCTCCTAAACTGGGATGGTTGGTTGTGAAGATATTGTAATATTGCACCTTTGTAGTGAATTTAGAGGCTGGGTAGAGCTAGAGAAAAACAGAACAGTGAGGTAAATCTAATGCATCCTGTAACTGTGTTGTGCACAGCTACCCTTCCTGTCCCCTCCCAAGTGTGGTTAACAATATCTTGTGATATTTTCATTGCTAAAGAGTAGGGCTTCGAAAATGTCTCACTGTCTGCTTCTGCTCTGTCATGCGGATACACGTTTGTATTGGTTCAGTATGTAAAATTAAATGCTTTTAAAAACCTCTGTGAAGCATGAAGTTTATATAACTGTGAAATATTTTGATATGCTTAGACTGATACATTTCATAACAATCTCTTTTAAAATGATCATATCTATTGATCACTTAGCCTCTTCACAAAATGTATACATATACACATCTTCACTGTGTTAAGAAAATAGTGATCTTAAGGTCTGATAAGTGTAGAGAGGTTAAAGTCTCTTATATTGTTATCTTCATCTTACAATAAGTGAATTAAATATACCTTCATGAGATAATTAATAAAGAAATCCTGATTGTATTTATGAAATGTGAAAAACTACTCTTGATATAACATCAAAGTTGATAGCCTTCAAAAGGTTCAGTTTCTACAGCGATTAATTCTGTCATGTTGATTACCCTGTATATTATATAGTCTGTACCATAAAACATACAGTATGTATTTGTACAGTGACCAGCGAGGTTCTGGTCCATGACTTGGGCCCCTACGTGCTGTCATAATAGTGGTAGTATTAATGCTTATTCTTACACGGAAAATAGAATAGAAAAGGCTATTTATGTACAATTTGTTTTTTTAACATTGCAGTAAAACCTGAGTTTTAAGTGCTTAATTCCTTAACTTTAATGGTCATGATTTCTTGACTTCAGTCTTGCATTGTTTCCTTGTTCTGTCACTTTTTTGCTTCCTTTTTAAAAGAAAAACTATTTGAGAGGTAAAGGGAACCAGATGCATTTAAAAACCCTTTGAAAATGAACCTTCAAGATATTGATTGAACTCTGTATGGCGTCACAATATACATGTGGGATTGTATTTATTTTCTGTAAAGATTAATGATAGAAACACACTTGTTAATATGATATTGATATTGTAATGCTAATAAAGGAAGGAAATTCACTATAGACTTCTGGCCTATCCTAAACCTGCTTGGATATATCTAGATATTTTCAGATTCTCCAAAGCTGTGAATTTTCTTATAAAATGTGCACATCTGGATAGATGGAAGTTTTTCTGATCTTGTGGATGGGTCACAGTCCTATGTCTAATTTTAAGAGTTAATTTGAATTATGGGTTCGGAAGGAGGATGATCTGCATGGAAAGTGCCTGGATGCTAAACATTTTTGCCCATGGTAGAAAATTGGAATACACAAGAGATATTATAGACAACGAGGGAATTGTTATGAGACTCACATTTGCTTGTTTAGATTCCCTTGCTTGCAGGAAAAAATAGTCCAGTCCACTTGCAAAATATCTGGCACCTCTCTGTAGAAATGAGAATGACCCAAGGCTACAATATATGCTCTGCAGAGGAGAGAGAGCATATTGTAGCATTGGATTGACTTGTAGACTACTCTTGTTTACATAGGGCTTTGTTTTCCTTTTAGGAGGGTGTGGCAAACGGAATGGACGCAGTAAGAAATGGAAGGAGATGCTAAAGTTACCACCTCTGAGTTATTGTGACGACCTTAGATGTTCAATCGGTAGGTGTGTGTGTATAATACACAAGTCTAATTTCTTTTGGGAGTATGCCATTATCCAATGAAGGTATTTCTTCTTGCTTCTGACTAGATAGTTTGCTAGTTTGTAATCCTACCTCAAGTCCTCTAATTTTAATTTAATTGAGAATTCCTGAGGGGAAAGCAATCATCACAGCTACTGTTGATTGTGTCCAAGAAAACTGCTCCTGAAATCTCATTAACTTGTGATTTAAAGACATCATTATGTTCTGGTTTGGGTCTCAAAAACTAAGCATCCTCATCAGACTGTTAAAATTGCAGATGCTAACGAGTTACTAGCAACAACGTTAGAGTGGCCTGTTCAAGGAAATCTGGGTATACTGCTGTGACTGTGACAACATGCCTTTCTGCAGCAATGACCTATAATTGCCTCAAATTGGATATTCCTTTTCTTTGTTTTTAAAGCCTCTTTAAATTAGCTCTGAAGAACTGAAATCAAAACGTAAACCCCTTCAGTGGGAAACCTTTTGAACCAGAAAGCTTCTGCGTAAGCACCAAGCTACCATGAAAGTGCATTAATTCTTACTTTGGACACAGATGTTGCAAATAAAACTGCCAAGATAAAACTTCTTAATCAGCTTTGGCATCTGTAAGACAAACAGGAACTAACAGCTTTATTTCCCCACCCCCAAAATTTGACTATACTGTTTAATACCGTAATCCACATTTTTTTTTTCTCTTGTTCCGCTTTTGCGCTCTCTCTCTCTCGTCCTCCCTGCCCGCCTTTTCTCTCTTTGGCCTTTATTCCCTTGCTCACCAGAAAAACATCCCAGGCTCCCAAATTCAAGATCCAATTGTCCTTGGACACACCTATTTAAAAAAACACACCCTTTTCCTTAATGTGCATCATTAACGTGCATACTGTCTGAAGGAAGGGTAGAGATGTTGATTTCGTATTTGTTCCAGGATGTTGGCCAACTGCTTGGTTTAGGAAGAAGCTTTCTGATTAACTTGTTATTGCATAATAGTTCGTTATGGGGATTTTTACACTTTCCTCCAAGCATTACTTAGAGTGTAAGACTGTTTTGATAGAGAGAGTCTTTCTGTTCACTGATTGTACAGCACCTTGCACAATGGGGCCCTGGTCCATGGCTAGGGTTTCTAGCTGCTACAATAATACAAATAATTGATGTATTACTAACCCTATCTGATGTTGAATATATGGACCACAGATATTTTGGTCAAATGATTATAGTGGAATTCAAATAGGGAAGCTGATCCCACAGTACTTGATCACATGAGTAGTCCTGTTTATGGTAATGAGACTCTTCATGTGAGTAAGGTCTACAGAATCAGCTTGCTTTTGTTTGCATTGGGGCTGGCACTCCACTATGTAATATACAGGACCTTATCAAGTGTTTTTCCTTAATTTATTAGCAATTAGCAGCTAATTTAATATAAAAGTTTTACACTATTTTGTGTGTGTGTGTATGGTGGGATGTTGGAGGCAGCAGTGGTGGTAAGCAAGTCTCTGTCACTTTCCTTTGTAACCTTTACAGCTGGTTTAGCCCTGCTCCTTTTGACATGTTAATGATTACATGAAATCTTGGTGGTCCTATCTGAATGGGAATCTGCAATATAAATGCTCTGAATCGGTGTTTCTCAAACTTTTGTACTGGTGACCCATTTTACATAGCAAGGCTCTGAGTGCTACCCCCCACCCCCTTATAAGTTAAAAACACTTTTTTATATATTTATTTAACACCATTATAAATGCTGGAGGCAAAGCAGGGTTTGGGGTGGAGGCTGACACCTCATGACCCCCCAGGTAATAACCTCCTTGACCCCTAAGGGGTCCCGACCCCCAGTTTGAGAACCCCTGCTCTAAATGATGCTTTATCTGTTGCAGTCTCAAATTGGGATAGGTAAGGGGTGTGAAGAACAGCACTCTGGCTTGTAATGATGTCATTTGTTTAATCTCTTCTTTTACCCAGAAAAAAACTATAACCAGCTCTGTGACAAGCAGCCAATAGGGAGACTTCTCTTCAGACAGTTCTGTGACACTAGGCCAGATTTGAAGACATGCATTGAATTCCTGGATGCGGTGGTAAGCAGTAGACTCCGCCTAGAAGGGCCCCAGCCTTGTTCTTCTGAGGAATTAGGAACTGGCGCAAGTAGCCTATTTTTAAGTTTTATAAAATGTGCCTGCCACGTTCTCTAGCTCCAAATGCATACTAATACCACAACTGTTAAAATGTAGCAAAAATGATTCAGTGTTAACTAAAGAGCTCAGCAAAAGAAATTCAGTGCCCTTAATGGCTACAACTTCTGACAAAATCTGGAGTAAATTTGTACGTCTTGTAGTGTGCCTTAGAGGTCAATAATTTTGGGCTCCATTGGGGGAAACCTTAGTTCACTGAAAATGCTCTTCCTGTTTATGTATAGATCTAGGTTTCAGTATCTCACTTGATATCAGTTTAGTTAGGTGCTCTCTAAGAGCTGGTCTACACTGAAAACTTACCTTGACACATGCTTCTCTAAGGCGTGTGAAAAGTCCACACCTCTGAGAGACATATTTTTGCTGACCTAATCCCCAGCATAGACAGTGCTAGGTCGATGGAAGAGAGGGAGGTTGCTGTCGTGTCTACAGTGTAGCACTACAATTGTACAGCTGTATGTGTAGACATAGCCTAAGGCAGTGGTTCTTAACCTGGGGTGCATGATGCCCTTTCTGGGGGTGCGAGACATGCCAGATTTTTTTTAGACGGTAAATCATCGAAAACACAAATTAAGCACAGGCACGTAAGTACAACTATTTTGTTTAATCAAGCCTATGTATTTATTAACGTTATACATTTCTTAACGATTACTGTAATATACAAACAAAAATATATCTAGGTTTAAGGGGTGCTATAACATATTTTTTAGGTTTAAGGGGTGCGAGAACATATTTTGAGAACCAAAGGGCTGCAGGCTGCAGTAAAGGTTAAGAACCACTGGCCTAAGGGTACATCTACACTACAAATTTTTGCTGACCCAAGTTACCTTGACATAAAGCTTCCACAGTTAGTATATTGCTTGTGCACATGCGTACTTGGCTTCTTGCATTGGTACTGCAGGTACTCCCCAGGAATGATTGTGTTGATGCACAGTGCAATGCACCATGGCTAGGTAGCTCAGTATTCAGCTCACCGTTCTCCAACACAATGTCTTTCAGGATGTTTTGGCAATGCATGGTGGGGCAGAAATGAGTCACACAGGGGTGACTGGAACTGTGGGGACAAGTTCCTATCATGCATCTTTCTCCACCGCATAATGTCATCTCTATCCTATAATTTTCATGCCTATTTTGAAAATCCCTCGAACCCATGTGGGACTTGTCACTCTCCACCATAGCTGATAGAAACATGGAGCCTGCAGAGCTCTGAACTATTGCCATGAGCATTCCAAACACAGGACACACAATACTCTGGTATTTGCAGAGCTGCAAGAAGAGATGAGGGAACATGATGATTTCCTGAAGGGCAGATTGCTGTGGGACATAGCAAGAATCAATTCAAGATTGTTGGAGGCATTCACAGAGCAGCTGTAAATGATGAAGCCTGAGAAATGGGTACTGACTGGTGAGATTGCATCATAGTGCAGGTTTGGGATGATGAGCAGTGGCTGCAGAACTTTTGGATGCGCAAGCCCACAGTCCTGGATCTGTATACTGAGTTTGCCCCAGAGCTGGAACACCAGAATGAGGGCTGCACTGACAGAGCTATTGCCGTTTACTTCTCCGCTGTGGAAACTTGCAATACCAGGTTGCTACCGGTCAGTAGGAAGTCATTTTGGAATTGGAAAATCCACTGTGGGGGACCGTTGTGATGCAAGTGTGCAGGGTCATTAATCATCTCCTGCTATGTAGGATGGTGATTCTTGGCAATGTGTGGGATGTAGTGGATGGATTTGCAGCAATGGGATTCCCAAACTGCCTGAAGCATATTCCTGTTTTGGCACCAGATCACCTTGCCACAGCGTACATCAACAAAAGGGCTACTTTTCTATGGTTATGCGAGCACTGGCGGATCACTAGGGATGCTTCATCAACATCAAAGTTGGCTGGTCAAGCAAAGTGCATGATGCTTGTATCTTTAAGAACACAGGCCAGTTCAGAAAGCTATAAGCGTGGACTTTCTTTGCCGACCGATAGATTACCATTGGCGATGTTGAAATGCCAATCGTGATCCTGGGGGACCCAGCCTACCCCTTATTCCTCTGGCTCACGAAGCTGTATACCAGCACCTCAACAGCACCAAGGAAATATTCAACTGCTGGCTTAGCAGATGAAGAATGTTAAACATGCTTTTGGTAGATTAAAGGGGTGCTGGTGTTATTTACTCACAAGGTTGGCTCGGATTGAGAAAAATATCCCAATGGTTATAGCTGCCTGTTGTGTCCTATATAATGTCTGTGAAGCAAAAGGGGAAAAGTTGCCATGGGGTTGAGGTGGAATGGCTGTCTGCTGAGTTTGAATAGGCACACAAATGCTATTAGACAAGCTCAACACAGAGCTATATGGCTCAGGGAGGCTTTGAAAGAACACTTTAACAGCGAGCTACAGTAATGCGTTGTGGTGTACTGTGCTGTACATGGCCCTGCTGTTCGGGGGCCCATTATGAATTGTGTGGTGCTTGAAGTACATCTAAGAATATGACACTGACAATGCGCCTATTAATTTTGTGGTGCTTGGTGTACATTTATGATTATTACACGGTTTTTCACTGATCCTATGAGTTGTCACATTGTACAGTAGCAAGAAAGTAAGTGGGTTCACTACTGCTAGGCATTCTGCAACATATATTGGGAACTAATAAACATGAATTATTTCCCAAACAATAGAGTTTCATTGAGTAACGTAAACACTTCAAAAAAAATTCTGTGCAAGTTAAAAGCAAATACTTTAGAACCTTAATAAATGTATGGAACTGAGGTTAAAGAAGGGAAGGACCATTCATATCCATTTTAGCTACACATACATAAGCTGTGGCTCTCACAGGTCAGTATATGTAAAGCTGTGGTTGTCCTTAATGTCCTCCTGAGTGTAGTGGCGGGGTAGGAATGTAGCCCCTGATCCCACATGGAAGGTTGAGGCAGGGTCTAGTGAGGTACTATACTGGAGTTCTCCATCGACTGCAAAGGAAAGCTAGTCCATGATTGTTGAATCTGTAAATCCACAAGAATCTGCAGCATCTGTGTTTTCAGCCAAAGAAGCCTATTATATCTTGTAAAAGCAGCAAAGAGTCCTGTGGCACCTTATAGACTAACAGACGTATAGGAGCATGAGCTTTCGTGGGTGAATGCCCACTTCTTCGAATGCATGACTATTATATCTTGGTGCATCTCCCTCTCATTTTCCTGCTGGTACTCCTAGGGATTTCTCCTGTCCACTCTTTCCTCCTCCATACAGTCTGCAGTATTTATCCTCCAGGCCCTCTGGTCATGATCTGATGCATCACTGACTTGCAGAATCTCGCCGACTATGTCATCCCAAGTCCTCTTCTTTCTTCTCCTTATCTGGTTCAGGCATTCCACAGGTGTGGAGGGGAAACTCCTCAAGGCCGCAATGGCAGCAGCAATGGATAAAACGCGGAGAGGTTTCATTGTCAGTATAGTTGCTACGGAAAACAAAAGTAAAGTTTCAGAACTCCCTTCCC